TCATTACACCAAATAATATTCTTTTTAGCAACATCATATGACCCTTTAAAGGGATAGTTCACCCAAAAATGAACTCATACGTCATCCGCCCGGAGCTGCTTCCGTGTACAACTGTTGGCACAAGCTACATTAAAGTGATTATTACATTTGAATATGGATATTTTTCTTACAAAAACGCATTGATTCACTACAGGAGGCCTTTGTTCACCCCCCGGAGCCGTGTGAGACACTTTTTTTTAATGGATGGGCGCTTTTTATTTAACTTCTTTTGGACTGATGCATGCAACACCCGCTGAGTGGCATTAAACAGCTTGAAAGATCAAAGACAATTTTTAATATAACTCCGACTGGATTCGTCTGAAAGAAGAAAGTCATATACACCTACGATGACTTGAGGGGGAGTAATTTATGGGCAAATTTTCATTTTTGGGTGAACTAACCCTTTAAGCGTAATTGAGTCAGCCGTTAGCGACTGGATGCCAGTGGGCGGGGCCTATGGTGAGAAGATGACTATTCATCGATGTCTTGCTCTGGAGGCAGTGTTTATGTAAATATTTGTGCCCCCGTGACGTCATCTTGCCCCTCAGATCCAAACGAGACATTTTTGGAGCTTGATTAAATAAATGCTTTGTTTATAATGAGGAGGACATTTTAAGCTATGAAACTTGCAGGATGTTTTAATGGTACAAAGGCTTCTTATATGCCAAAAACCAAGGCAAAATTGATTTCTCATGTCATGACCCCTTTTAAATATCTTTCTTTCATTGTCTCTACATAGTTTTAATAATTGTCACTACCTGACACATTTAATTGGAGTTTCTAAGAAAAGTCTGTTAGCAACAAAAACATTTAACATATGCATGGATTATGTGAAGATTGGGAATGTTTATGATATTCCAATATTTCAAATGTAACAATGTCAAATTTGTCTGTGATGTGCTTTTACATCAGTACCACATAAATCAATCAATCAATATACATACCTGCACAATAACTTTACTAAAAAGTACAAAAAAAGTGAAAATAATTATTAGTCATTATAATACCTTGAGTAGCATAAATTGTACCTAAAATTACAAATAATTTCCAATTCATTCATTGTAGTATTAATTATAGTTATATACATTTTTAGGAGTCTTCACACAATTAGCATATTTTTGGTCAAAATTGTGCTTTTAAAAAGATAATAAACTCCTGCATTATTTGATTTGGAAACGAAAACATTTGTCATTCACAAAAGTTTGACATGCAGACTTTCCCAAATGTTACTTTTGTCATTAGTTAAGACCAACTGAAAAACAGGAGGATGTTTTGGAAGTTCATTTTTCTACGTAGTAAATCAAACTGTTTTCAAAGATCAAGGAAAAACAAAAGGTCAGTTAACTGTTGAAGTCCCCTTAAATTTATTCAAAACATGATCAAAAGCATATGAATGTTCATTTTAAGGTTTTTATTGAGTTCCTTAAACAAACAAACAAACAAACAAAAGCACACAGAATATGCATGATTAGCTTTCGTTGTAACATTTGTCAGCAAATTACACACATTCAAGCTAACACCAAGTAGGCAGAACATTATGTTGCCATTTTTAAAGCTTGTGAAATTATTCAGTCTAAAGGCTACCTGCTATTTGTTTTCATTCTGGAGAAGGCATGACAATGAAGGAAATCTAATACTCCTCTCCCTCCTCTTCTCCTTCTCCCTCGACTGAATCTACACCCACCTCCTCATAATCTTTCTCCAGGGCTGCCATGTCTTCTCTAGCCTCAGAGAACTCTCCCTCCTCCATACCTTCACCTACGTACCAGTGCACAAAGGCACGCTTAGCGTACATCAGATCGAACTTATGATCAAGCCTGGCCCAAGCCTCCGCAATAGCAGTGGTGTTGCTTAGCATGCACACCGCTCGCTGCACCTTAGCCAAATCACCTCCAGGTACAACGGTAGGGGGCTGGTAGTTGATACCAACCTTGAAACCAGTTGGACACCAGTCCACAAACTGGATGGAGCGCTTGGTCTTTATGGTGGCAATAGCAGCATTTACATCTTTAGGTACAACATCACCACGGTACAACAGACAGCAAGCCATGTACTTGCCGTGACGTGGGTCACATTTGACCATCTGATTAGACGGCTCAAAGCAAGCATTAGTGATCTCAGACACTGAGAGCTGCTCATGGTAAGCTTTCTCAGCAGAGATCACAGGAGCGTAAGTTGCTAAAGGAAAATGGATACGTGGATACGGCACCAAATTGGTCTGAAACTCAGTTAAGTCAACATTCAAGGCACCGTCGAACCGTAGGGAGGCAGTAATGGAGGACACGATCTGACCTATCAATCTGTTAAGGTTGGTGTAAGTGGGACGCTCGATATCAAGGTTTCTACGGCAGATGTCATAGATGGCCTCATTGTCGACCATGAAAGCACAGTCTGAGTGCTCGAGGGTGGTGTGGGTGGTAAGAATGGAGTTGTAGGGCTCCACCACAGCAGTAGACACCTGTGGAGCTGGGTAGATGGAGAACTCAAGCTTGGACTTCTTTCCATAATCAACAGAAAGGCGCTCCATCAGTAAAGAGGTGAAACCAGAACCAGTTCCTCCTCCAAAGCTGTGGAACACCAAGAAGCCCTGAAGTCCAGTGCACTGGTCAGCCTATGAAGAGAGGGAATGGAAAGAAACAGTTATCAAGTCTACCATATTTAATATTGAGTTAAAACCTAAACAAATGTTAAATGTAAACAGGCTGACTGCGATTACAAGGATGGCTTACCAGTTTGCGAACCCTATCAAGAACCAGATCAATGATCTCTTTGCCAATAGTGTAATGGCCACGAGCGTAGTTGTTAGCTGCATCCTCCTTTCCGGTGATCAGCTGCTCAGGGTGGAAAAGCTGACGGTAAGTTCCGGTGCGAACCTCATCTGAACCGCAAAAAAGAGTGTGGAGAGAATGAAAGCTGTGAAGCTTGTGGATTAACAATAAGAGACGACTAATCAGGCAATTACTGACCAATCACAGTGGGCTCCAGATCTACAAACACTGCCCTGGGAACATGCTTGCCAGCTCCTGTCTCACTGAAAAAAGTGTTGAAGGAGTCATCCCCTCCACCAATGGTCTTATCACTGGGCATCTGTCCATCCGGCTGAATCCCATGCTCAAGGCAGTAAAGTTCCCAGCAGGCGTTGCCAATCTGGACACCGGCTTGACCCACATGGATGGAAATACACTCACGCTGTTGTGGAAAAGGAAAATAAATGACTCTGTCATAAACATTTATCCTGAAAATTAGGATAATTACCAGTACTGAGACACAATGAAGCTTTATAAAATGTCATTTTCAAATGATATATTTGATTACACACCACATTGAATTCAAATTCATATTAATTTTCTAACAAACGTAGAAAAGTTGTGCTATGAAACATGAAACTCTAAAAATATGAGACCAACACCATTTTCAGATGTGTAATTATCCAAGCTAGGCAACAATGGCATGCAATGTGCAAATACCGTTATATTTCAAAAACTGCAAAATCCGTTTTTGAAAAATATATAACATAGCTATTTAGCTGTAGCTGTAGCTTTTTAGGCTCTCAAACCAGAAATGTTGTCTTATGAATAATAGACAGCTCATCATGCTTCTCTGACTCCTAACACTAGCAACAAGTTACAAGAACTGTGCAAAACCCTCTGATTAAAGTGCAAAACAGCCAAATAAGATGAACATTATAAGGCAGAAAATTAACAGAGAAATTAAAGTATTCACTTACCATTTTGTCGTTTTTCCCAGCTGCTGCAGACGCTGATATGTGCTGATCTCACTGCAGAGAAGATGGAGATGTCGCTATGACAGAGCAAGCTGCAGGAGGGAGTGGCTCAGCTTATGAACAACCAAATACATCTTCTGAAAACACTCCAAACAAAATACAGTACAATGCACAGAAACTATAAGCTAGATTACAAACATCACACAAAGTGGCATTCGTGTAATATTATTAGACTGAATTAAACCGGCATCCTAAAAATCATTTAAAATTATATTTGAATATTATGTCATTCGTGTTGGTTTTTTAAATAAACCTACTTAACACAATTCTTATAACACATTCAGAACAGACCGATAGTTACACAACAATAGACGCGTCTTAGATGCTTTGATACAGCTGCACCTTATCATTCTGATCCATGCAAACATGTGTTTTAAAACCTAATAAACTGCCTAGAATATATTTCTAGGGCCAATCTAAACGCACCAGGGCCACCGCCCGTCTCTGCTGCAGTAGATGACGTCACAATGCTGCAGACTACCAGAAACTGTTCAACAAGCACCATTTATACTGTAGAATGTAAAATAAATCTTTCTGATTTTGAAAGAGAACTTGAACTGACTGACTCAGTGTCATAGCTATAGCGCTTTTATTTCATTTTTAAAGTGTAGCCTACATAAAATGCGCTGGGAATTCTATAAAGTAATAATTATTTAAAATTATCCCCAGAGATTATGCATAAATCAACGGCATGCAGAAAGCCTGAATGAAACAAGTGTTGTAGCCTAGTAGGTCACATATCCTGACGCTCTGTCGCGCTATAAAAGCGGTTCGACTCGAGGATTGCGCGCAGTTACGCAGTTACTATCGACTCTTCGCCGTCGACAACAGTAACGCAGTACAGCAAAATATTGTTTCCAGATTATTCCAAAGCATACGAAAATGGTGAGTAGCTGACTAGCTGTATTATTACATTTTAGGCTATATTATTTTAAAGAAAGCATTTGCTAAATCTTGTGTACATTGTAATTATGAGGCAGGTTACAGAGGGAATCTGTACACCTGTGCCATCGCTTTAATAAACTGCATCTGCTCGATATATTCCTGCTGAATATTCTCGTGAATATTGTTGACTCTGCTATTTTGTATCGGGATGTGTGACCGCTTTTCGTCTGTTAGATGCTGATGAACTGTTATGCTCTTTGTGATTTTCAGTTTTCAATCTAGGTATTTATTTGGCGTGACTCAATCAGATGACTGATAATATTTTACGTCGAAGTGAAGATGATTATTTAAACACGGCGATAGGCTACAATATTAAAACACCTATACAATGTATAATACACAATTGTGGTCAAATAGGCTACGTCTTAAATATATTAGACCTTTTGACGGTCAAATCCATTGATTGTCTTACTTAACAGAGGTTTAATTCACCAGGACATGTATTTATTTATGCTTGGACTAAAGACGTTTGGTTTTGTTTAGAACTATCCTTGCTTATAGGAATCGTTTATTGTTTTGTGAAATTTCAACATAAAGGCATAGCAGTGAGTGCACACTGCAGCATATGCAGACAGTCATAATCGCATTAAATGCACTACTCCAAATAAATAATCTACTCTGACCAGCTAAACCCAGGAAACATATGCTGTAGCCTATAGAAACAGTATTCAACAGTGCTTTAAACAAATTCAGTTATTCCCATCAGCAAAGAAATTATGTATAAACCCAGAATAATAAGCCTTGGTATTGAATTTATATTGCATAGACTGTAGATTGAAACATAGTGCTGCAATTTGGTAAAATGGCTTAAACCCATGTTGCCAGGCAAGAAATAGGGAACAGCTGGGTGGAGCTTGAGCTTTTCAAATAGGAGAGGAGGAGGCAGGTGGCATCCATGGTTGCTCTTGCCTCTGTGGCCATATTCAGTCTTATACCTAAAGCAAAGAATTGCATGTTATGTCAAATTTATTTCAACACCCAATTTACATTTGCAAAGTATGTGCATTTCTATCTTAAAAACACGTAGTAAGTCAAAATGATATAAGGCTGCAACTATTATATAATAAAGCTCTTGCTTTTCTTCTTTAAAGCAGTGTGAGTGTATTTCCATTCATGTGGGGCAAGCTATTTTATATCGTCTGGCATTTCACATTGCATGCCATTGTTGCCTAGCTTGGATAATTACACATCTGAAAATGGTGTTGGTCTCATATTTTTATAGTTACGGGTGTCATAGCACCACTTACAATGTTTACCTAATAACATGTTTTGTTAGAAAATTCATATGAATTTGAATTAAATATGGTGTGTAATCAAATATATCATTTGAAAATTACATTTTATAAAGCCTCATTGTGTCTCAGTACTGGTAATTATCCTAATTTTCAGGATAAATGTTTATGACAGAGTCATTTATTTTCCTTTTCCACAACAGCGTGAGTGTATTTCCATCCATGTGGGTCAAGCCGGTGTCCAGATTGGCAACGCCTGCTGGGAACTTTACTGCCTTGAGCATGGGATTCAGCCGGATGGACAGATGCCCAGTGATAAGACTATTGGTGGAGGGGATGACTCCTTCAACACTTTTTTCAGTGAGACAGGAGCTGGCAAGCATGTTCCCAGGGCAGTGTTTGTAGATCTGGAGCCCACTGTGATTGGTCAGTAATTGCCTGATTAGTCGTCTCTTATTGTTAATCCACAAGCTTCACAGCTTTCATTCTCTCCACACTCTTTTTTGCGGTTCAGATGAGGTTCGCACCGGAACTTACCGTCAGCTTTTCCACCCTGAGCAGCTGATCACCGGAAAGGAGGATGCAGCTAACAACTACGCTCGTGGCCATTACACTATTGGCAAAGAGATCATTGATCTGGTTCTTGACAGGGTTCGCAAACTGGTAAGCCATCCTTGTAATCGCAGTCAGCCTGTTTACATTTAACATTTGTTTAGGTTTTAACTCAATATTAAATATGGTAGACTTGATAACTGTTTCTTTCCATTCCCTCTCTTCATAGGCTGACCAGTGCACTGGACTTCAGGGCTTCTTGGTGTTCCACAGCTTTGGAGGAGGAACTGGTTCTGGTTTCACCTCTTTACTGATGGAGCGCCTTTCTGTTGATTATGGAAAGAAGTCCAAGCTTGAGTTCTCCATCTACCCAGCTCCACAGGTGTCTACTGCTGTGGTGGAGCCCTACAACTCCATTCTTACCACCCACACCACCCTCGAGCACTCAGATTGTGCTTTCATGGTTGACAATGAGGCCATCTATGACATCTGCCGTAGAAACCTTGATATCGAGCGTCCCACTTACACCAACCTTAACAGGCTGATCAGCCAGATCGTGTCCTCCATTACTGCCTCCCTACGGTTCGACGGTGCCCTGAATGTTGACTTAACTGAGTTTCAGACCAACTTGGTGCCGTATCCACGTATCCATTTTCCTTTAGCAACTTATGCTCCTGTGATCTCTGCTGAGAAAGCTTACCATGAGCAGCTCTCAGTGTCTGAGATCACTAATGCTTGCTTTGAGCCGTCTAATCAGATGGTCAAATGTGACCCACGTCACGGCAAGTACATGGCTTGCTGTCTGTTGTACCGTGGTGATGTTGTACCTAAAGATGTAAATGCTGCTATTGCCACCATAAAGACCAAGCGCTCCATCCAGTTTGTGGACTGGTGTCCAACTGGTTTCAAGGTTGGTATCAACTACCAGCCCCCTACCGTTGTACCTGGAGGTGATTTGGCTAAGGTGCAGCGAGCGGTGTGCATGCTAAGCAACACCACTGCTATTGCGGAGGCTTGGGCCAGGCTTGATCATAAGTTCGATCTGATGTACGCTAAGCGTGCCTTTGTGCACTGGTACGTAGGTGAAGGTATGGAGGAGGGAGAGTTCTCTGAGGCTAGAGAAGACATGGCAGCCCTGGAGAAAGATTATGAGGAGGTGGGTGTAGATTCAGTCGAGGGAGAAGGAGAAGAGGAGGGAGAGGAGTATTAAGATAATTTTTTCTTCTCCAGGTCAGTTACAGCTTTGCATCATTAATCAGTTTTAGTCAGAAATGTAAACGAAATGAGGCGTTAAAGGTGACAAGTGACGTGTCAAGTGAGTATTCAGTTTGTAAAAAATATGTAGTAAACATTTGTTCTTTAGATCATGTCAATCACATATTTAATGCTGTAGGCAACTGAGATTGAGTCATATTTTGTGATTCCTCCAATTAGTCTGTGTAGATCACATAAAATTATGCACTGACCTTACTGACGTCTGCAATAAAGTGATCATTTCAAGAGTTGCGTATGCTTTCACTGACACCCCATTAAAACATTCACTTTATATACACACACAAAATATATAGACATCTTCATAGACATATGAGAATGTCTATTTTCTTTTCCCCTAATGACATACTGCAGTTAAAGGTGGGGTAAGTGATTTCTGGTAGCCAATGTTGACATTTGAAATCACCAAAACAAACACGCCCCTACCCCAAAAGGGTCTCGCCCCTATTTTGATAGCTCTGCCCCACACATACGTACGCAACCCAGGCAACGATTAGCTCTGTGAAACAAAGCAAAACCAATATTACACCGTGTCTACACCGGACGTGAGTGGCGCGGCGCAACACAATACTATGGAACTCATTATAATCAGTGATGCTGTCTACACCATAGATATATATATATACATATCTATGGTCTACACTGGATGCGGCGCGGCGTTACATGACAAATCCCCGACAGAAAACTGCGGCTGCGTTCTATTTATGACGTATTGACACAAATTTCAAATGATTTTCAACAGTCGCTTTGTCGCGTCCAGTGTACTAGACAGACTTTAGCTGTTGTGGCGCAGACACGGTGTTACTCACCTATCGAGAAGAAACAAAGCAACCTCGGCGTCCGATCGCAGGCCTTCCGCTCCTTGAGTTCTCTCCAGCGCTGGAAAGCTGATCCGATATTTACACGGGTCCTACTTCTTGCCTTATTGCCTTAAGCCTTCTTTTGTTCCGCAGACGTTTTCCTCTTTTGTTTTTTATCCGCCATCTCTATCTTTCTGTCGCTCGGCTCGCTAATGTCCATCCTGTGCACTGAACGCTCTCTCCTCCACATCATGAGTAGACACGCCCCTTACTGCTGATTGGCTACAAGTTTGTTTTGCTAGTCGGCCCAAATCAGTTTTCTAAAGCGTTTTTGAAAAATCGCTTACACCACCTTTAAACATTTAACATGAAGTATACCATATTCTAAAATTAATATCACAAAAGAATAAGACAAAATTAATTTAACACATTTGAGTATTTACTTCTAAGTAGTGATTGACAAAATATAAATTATATTCACAATACAAATTGTATTAAGGATTGCATTTACAATATAATACTCCTATAATATATACTGAACATTAAAATGGTAACGTTTAAATGGTTAAAAAATAAAGCAAGTCAAATGTCATTTTACTTATGTATTTAAAAAAGTGGGACTGTAAAATGTAATTTTAATATTGGAAAACTACATTTGTCATGATATGGCACTGTAGTACTCCGAATTTTAGTCCAGTATACCTATTTTCCAATGGCATGGTGTTGAAGCCAGTGCAATGTGGTTCTGCATTCATTTCTATTTTAACCACACTAAACAGCCTCTATAGCCACTTTACTTTTCCTTTCATTCTAACATTTTAATTATGAATTATTTGTAATAAAATGTTTTCATAAAAGTTTTTAATAAAATTTTTCACACCTTAATTATGTATTTAAAAACTAATTCAAAGCCAGCTTGTGATGGTATAAAAAATATAATCGCTTGATATAACAATAAAATATGTTCTAGGAATCAAAACTAGGATTAAGATGTCTTGACCGTGTGACCGATGACATGAATTCCCTCATGTATGGCCATATTTGCAACTCAACTTTAGCACATTCATGAGCTCATTTTATGTATGTCACAGTTGAAGCTCAGAAAGTGTTATTATACAGGTCACAAAATATTAATTTGTTTTAATATGAATTTGTTCCTTGCGATACCAGTAAGTGATGTAAAGAACAGCAATGTTAAAACAGGGGCTAAATAATTAAAACCAAGCTGCATTAAGGGGAAAAAAAAACCTACAACTCAAAAATATTATATACTGACATCACATTGCATATTGATCACTTTCAGCATGTCATTAAACAAATAAACTTCAGAAAAGCTTTGTAAATTATTATACAGGCTCTGAGGGTTGAATAATTTTAATTGAAAAATGACACACGCATACACACACACACACATATATATACATACATATATACAGGTGCATCTAAAAAAATTAGAATATCGTGAAAAAGTTCATTTTTTATAACTTCAAAAAGTGAAACTTCATATATTCTAGATTCATAACATGTAAAGTAAAACATTTCTAAAGTTTTTGTTTTGTTTTAATTTTGATGATTAGAGCTTACAGCTCATCAAAGTAAAATATCCAGTATCTCAAAATATTAGAATATTTCCTAAGATCAATCAAAAAAAGGATCTGCAAAACAGAAAAGCTCAAGTACTTTAAAGTATGTTCATTTATGCACTCAATACTTGGGGCTCGTTTAGCACAAACTCTAGCATCAGTGAGGTGTGGCATGGAAGCGATCCACCTGTGGCACTGCTGAGGCACTATTGAGCCTTCAGCTCATCTGTATTGTTGGATCGACTATTTCTCATCTTTCTCTTGAAAATATCCCATTGATTCCATATGGGGTTCAGGCAAGGCATGTTGGCTGGCCAATCAAGAACAGTAATATCATGGTCAGCAAACCACTTGGAAGTGGCTTTGGCAATGTGGGCAGGTGCTCAATCCTGCTGGTAAAATCTCCTGGTAGACGGCGCATTTACTCTGGACTTGATAAAACACAATGGACCAACACCAGCAGACATCACAGCACCCCAAATCATCACTGACTTCAGAAACTTCACACTGGACTTCAAGCAGCTTGGATTCTGTGCCTCTCCAGTCTTCCTCCAGACTCCAGACCTTGATTTCCAAATGAAATGCAAAATGTACTTTTATCTGAAAAGAGAACTTTGAAGCACTGAACAACAGTCAGCTCTTTTTCCCTTTAGCCCAGGTAAGATGCTTCTGACGTTGTTTCCGTTTCAGAAGTGGCTTGGTAGCCCTTTTCCTGAAGACGTCTGTGCGTGGTGACTCTTGATGCACTGACTCCAGCTTCAGTCCACTCCTTGTGAAGCTCTACCAAGTGTTTAAATCGGCTTTGCTTGACAGTATTCTCAAGCTTGCGGTCATCCCTGTTGCTTGTGCACCTTTTCCTAACCAAGCTCTTCCTTCCAGTCAACTTTGCATTTAATATGCTTTGATACAGCACTCTGTGAACAGCCACCCCTTTCAGTAATGACCTTCTGTGACTTACCCTCTTTGTGGAGGGTGTCAATGATTGTCTTCTGGACCATTGCCAAGTCAGCAGTCTTCCCCATTATTGTAGTTTCAAAGAACAAGAGATACCCAGAATTTATACTGTAGCGATAGTCATTTAATGAAACTCAAATGTAACTATTCTAATATTTTGAGATACTGGATTTTTGACTTTCATGAGCTATAAGCTCTAATCATCAAAATTACAAAAAAAAAAACTTTTGAAATGTTTTACTATACATGTAATGAATCTAGAATATACAGTATGAAAGTTTCACTTTTTGTAATAAGTTACAAAAAAAGAACTTTTTCACAATATTCAAATTTTTTGAGATGCACCTGAATATATATATATATATATATATATATATAAAATATAAGAATACAATTCTTAAACAGACATTATTAGTAGGCAGTTTATGTAACAATCAGTTGTTAGTGGAAATGCAAGCCTTCATCATTGAGCATGTTGATGTTCAGTATACAATTATGAACCAAGTGGTTTACATGTCATAAGATTTCATGATAGCAACCCAGTCGAAAAAAAAAAAGCACTTCCATAATGTACTTAGTCCTCTATTTTAACGCACTAATTTTGTACTTAATATACGAAAAATTATTCTTAAATCATATTCATGGTGTCCCAAAATATCACATTTGAGTACGCTTAGATCTTCTTAAGATTATCTTAAGTAATAGAGAATAATTTTGTAGTATATTAAGTACAAAATTAGTGCGTGAAGTTTAGGTACATTACTGAAGCAATTTAAGTACATTATTGAAGTGCACTTTTTTTTTCTCCTGGGAATGAATGACAAATGATAAACTTGTTTGGTACAGTCAGTTTCGACCAAGTGTCCTGGTCTTGAACACCAGGAATAATCCATGAAGCCAGTTATGAGAGTAAAATCAAAATAATTTCAAGCACTTTCAAAAACCCAAAAGCTCAAAACAGTTGCAAGCTACAACCCAACCTGCACCAAAGAGAATTCCAACAATTTTGTTTATATGCATTTTACGTTCACGTACAAAGTTCATTTTTGGTCTTTGAAACCCTTACTCACTTTTACCTTTACTCGATGCCACGCGTTACTTAGCACTCCTCGTAAGTTCCAGATTGGAGCGACAGTGTCTGGCTGCGTGTTGTAACTACTGTCCACTGCTTTGCACACAATCTCCAGCTCCTGAGCCCTATGAGGAATTGGGACATCTATCTCCCACAGCTTCCAAGCCCAGGCTCTTCCAGGTGGAGGAGGAGGAGCAGGGTGCTGTTCTTGATCACTAGTGCGAAGTTTGGCTACATGCCACGTTTTCCCTCCATCTACCGAGACGTCCACTCTCACAACCTCTCTTCCTCCCCCACTCCACGCATAGCCTTTTACAGTCACCTCCCTATCACTGCGGTCTACTGAGGTTCCCTCTGCTGGGTGAGTGATGGCTGACTGTATGGGGAGCTCCTGGATAGCTGGTGCTGATTTAAAATCCACAGTGTCCCAGTCAGTACCTGGAGAAAAGCCTTTGTAATCATTCTGCTGCCAGTGGCTCTTGCTTTCTTCGTCACTTACAACAATTTTCCCCAACCATTTGACATTGCGGGCTCCAACAACTCCAGGTACAACTACACGGACAGGGTAGCCGTGGTCAGGTGGGAGGTCCTCGCCGTTCATTTCATACGCGAGGAGAACATCACCTTCTTCGCTCACAGCGTTGTTCAGTGGAATAGATGCACCATATGCTGTACCAGTCACATCCCTGTCTAACCCTTCAAACTGGACATGTTTGGCTTTCGCTGCAACCTCTGGTCCAAAGCCATAGGACAACAATACATCCCGCAGACGTGCACCTGACCATGTAGCGTTGCTTATTGCGGCGATGCCCCAATTGAGTCCTTTGACTTGCTTGACTTCGTTCATCTCAGAACGACGGTTCCCGGCGCACTGAAGCGTCGCTGTAATGGTGTGTTTTGGAAAACGAGACTTTAGCTCACTTAGACTAAGTGATACTACTCCACCAGGGAGACCCTCGATCTCCAACCTGTAAGCTTCAGGATCCACCCTGGGCACTGGAAGATGATTACGCTTAAAAAATATGACTGAAGGGGTGATGTAATTATCCGAAAGTATAGATGCGGGTGGTTCGGCATTGAAAGGTTTCAGACTGTTGATCTGAAGAGCAGGGTGACGTGTTGGCTCAGCAGAGTAAGGGTCTAAAGGGTTGGCACTCTCTTGTTTCTTGTAACTCTCTGTATCAAGAACACCAATTTTATACTCTGAGAGGATTTCTAGAACATGGTCTTGCTGATGAATGGCATATAATGCCCAGTACGGTTCCAGAGCTCCACCTGCAGCCAGAAGTATTTTGTCGCCACCAGGGTGAATGGCCACAAATTCAGTGATATCGTAGACTGCTCCTTTATAGGTGACCCACACACCACTGTCAAGGGAACAATGCTTTGTGACTTCTTCTAGGGTGTAAACGGGAAGATCTGAAGTCTGCGTTACCCGTAACTGTGCTGAAGTAGCAGCCCACTGAACCTGAACAAAAATAGACACAATAAAAAAAATGTAAAAAAGATTGCTCAATGACAACTAAAGCACCAGGCACACTGCAATTTTTGTGTCCTTTACAATTGTTGCTTGTCAGATTGTATGATATGAGCCCGGTGAGATCTTACAGACTGTGAGACATCAATGGTCTTTTATGTCAAACTGTATGATATTGTAAGACTTTACTAATAATTGACAGGGTTTGACTTTGCAGTCTGTTTTGACATCCTTATTTACACACAAAATTTAAAGGGGTCATGACATTATTATTTGAATATATTTCTTAAAGTTCACTTGCGTTGTTTTTGAAGGTTTTGCACAAAAAAAACTCATATATTTGCAAAACATGATTAATCTTCACCCTCATTCTCAACAAGTATGAGTAATGACAATGTACACATACATCTTAGTTTTTTAACTTATTGTTATTCCTGAGAAAATGTGACAAACCTTTGGCAACAGAAGCACATTTCCAAATGTGTTTGAAACAGAAAGTATGTCAAAGCAATCCTTTTTGTGACTTATTTTGTGCATTTTCAACAAATTAATCAACCCTGAGTGGAAAGGTTATTTTCATTGGTTGTGTGACGTTGTTGTTATTTTTAGTAGATTTACAGTATATGCACCCACTGCTGTAGATATCTTTCCCTGGTTATACCTTTAGAGATTTTTCATTATTTAGGAATCAGAAAACACATCAGGTGTCTCACCTTGTCTTGGTGGAGCTTATAGGCTAAAACAGCTCCAGTACCTGCCAGCAGCCCTGCCAGAGCGAATCTAAACTTCGGCAGCCTGTCATTAAAGTATTTCTGTCTTCCATGTCCACCAGTGCTCCTCCAGCAACAAGACAGATGACCATCCCACACGGACAGTGACGGGATAATGCTCTTTGAAAGTCTGGAACTGAGAGTTAAGAGACGTTTAAGCAAGAATTTCATTATAACAAACATTTTCGAGTTTCTTAAAGAGCATTTCACAGAATCTGGCCATGTCTTTTCAATCATTTACATTAAGCAAATCATTAAATCAAGGTACCATGTGGGGGATTCAGAGTCAGACTAAGTGAAAGATTAACTTTCATGCATCTTATTTGGAAATGCTTAAATGATAAGGATCAAAGGTTTAAGGTTTATGAAATGGCAGGATTACCTTTGACTCCTGATAAAGAAGACCTGAGCAAGACCTTGGCAGTGCTTTAGGTGCTGCATTGCTCTTTCTGAGAAAAGAGACAAAGAACAACAAAATGTCAAAGTACGATGACAGTCTAAAAGCTAAAAGTTTTGATGACTAGAGTGAATCCAGTCAAATGTTATACAATGGATAAAATAAGCTTTTACATTTGACCTTTTATCATAACCACAGAGATGAAAGTAGATGAAAACTCATCAGTATTCATCATCAAAATTCATCATTAATGGAGAATTAGGATATTTGCTTGCAGTATGGGTTTATAGGCCGTAACCTCCAACTTTCCATTAAAAGAGTAATGCTTACTGCAAATTGATAATGATCATATGTTTTAGGGGAAGTGACCCTATTGTAGTTTTTCATGTTTTCAAGTAGATGGGTCAACGACACATAAAAGTGTTCACAATAAAGAAAATTAAAAGAAAAATCTTTAAATGAACCTTGCTTGACTTCGTTCATCTTAGAACGACGGTTCCCGGCACACTGAAGCGTCGCTGTAATGGTGCGTTTTGGAAAACAAGACTTTAGCTCACTTAGGCTACGTTTACACGACAACGAAGTAGTCAAAAACGGAAACGTTATTCCCTTGCGTTTTTAAAAAGTTTAATGTATACACGACAACGTTTTCAAAACGATTTGCATTTACACATCTGCGAAAATGACCAAAAACGCTGTATTACGTATGCCAGGCCAGTAGTTGGCGCTGTCACCTTGTTAGTAAACAGTACCTGTAGAGAAGGGACGATTATATGTTGTATATGATGCGTCTCCGCTGTTGGTTGTAATATTGGTGAAGTAAATCCACACTTTGCTGAAGAAGCGTTGGCAAACTCTTGAGCAGCAACAACAGTACCATGTACTCCGCCATTGTTGTGTATGTTTTTTCGCGCTTGTCTTTAAAATTGACACATACTGCGCATGTCTACATACCTAACACGTACTACGCATGTGCATGACGTCACCGTTTTCAAAGATTCCCGTTTTGGGTGTTTATACGGAAACGACAACAGTGCCGTTTTCAAAAACTTGCACTTTGAAACCCGTTTTCAAAAATATGCGTTTTCAGTCCCCAAAAAGCCGTTGTCGAGTAAACGAACAGTCAAAACACATAAAAAGTTTCCCGTTTTTGGATGAAAACGTTGTCGTGTAAACGGCCCCTTAGACTAAGTGATACTACTCCACCAGGGAGACTCTCGATCTCCAACCTGTACGCTTCAGGATCCACCCCTTTTCTTTATGATGATATCAGACACTGGACATTTTTAAAATGTTATATCAAAATTCATTTTAAATTAAAACTAAAAAAAAATAATAATAATAAAAACATGATCAACAAGCGTATTCAAGTCACTGCTTATATGAACAATATATTTTTGAACAAAATAAGACAAATACAGACTGCAATATTTGATATTTTTCAGCATCCATTCAACTACTAAACATAACTGTTCAGTCTAAAGGCGGGCGTACACGGTGCGATTCTGAAGGTCGGAACGTCGTGAGCTCTGGCACGTCACGATTGAGTTTATCCGAAAATCGTACGGAGGCAGTCACACACGACACGAATTTACTACGATTTTACAAACTCTGACGTAAGCATTACGTTTCGCGCCATTCATAAAAATATGGATTCTGAGGACGAAATAGTTTTCTTTGTGGCAGGCGGCTTGTGACGTCCAAAAAAAAAACGAAGACAAAGGACATGGCAAAGAGAATGGCTGAAAAGCAGAGAAAAGCGTGGACTTTCTGTTCTTCATAAAGAACTCGAGGGAGTAGCCTAGGCCATTTCTGAATTTTTGCTCGTTTTGCCAGAAATACAACAGGCATATTCATTCATAAAGCTGAATGGCAAATTTGGCACATTCGGAATAACAAATAAAAAATAGAACTGTATAATTAATCTAAAAATATTATAGACTATATGGTTTTTGTCATCTTCTGATTGGTCAACTTCAGATGGATCACCAAATGGTCTCGTTCAACCGCACATACGCCACAAATTTAAACCGACAGCATCCGATTTTTTTTGACATGATTGAAAATTATCGGGAGGACGGGAGGTGCTCGTAACGTTGGCGCTGTCACCTTGTTAGTAAACAGTACCTGTAGAGAAGTGACGATTATATGTTGTATATGATGCGTCTCCGCTGTTGGTTGTAATATTGGTGAAGTAAATCCACACTTTGCTGAAGAAGCGTTGGCAAACTCTTGAGCAGCAACAACAGTACCATGTACTCCGCCATTGTTGTGTATGTTTTTTCGCGCTTGTCTTTAAAATTGACACATACTGCGCATGTCTACATACCTAACACGTACTACGCATGTGCATGACGTCACCGTTTTCAAAGATTCCCGTTTTGGGTGTTTATACGGAAACGACAACAGTGCCGTTTTCAAAAACTTGCACTTTGAAACCCGTTTTCAAAAATATGCGTTTTCAGTCCCCAAAAAGCCGTTGTCGAGTAAACGAACAGTCAAAACACATAAAAAGTTTCCCGTTTTTGGATGAAAACGTTGTCGTGTAAACGGCCCCTTAGACTAAGTGATACTACTCCACCAGGGAGACTCTCGATCTCCAACCTGTACGCTTCAGGATCCACCCCTTTTCTTTATGATGATATCAGACACTGGACATTTTTAAAATGTTATATCAAAATTCATTTTAAATTAAAACTAAAAAAAAATAATAATAATAAAAACATGATCAACAAGCGTATTCAAGTCACTGCTTATATGAACAATATATTTTTGAACAAAATAAGACAAATACAGACTGCAATATTTGATATTTTTCAGCATCCATTCAACTACTAAACATAACTGTTCAGTCTAAAGGCGGGCGTACACGGTGCGATTCTGAAGGTCAGAACGTCGTGAGCTCTGGCACATGTCACGATTGAGTTTATCCGAAAATCGTACGGAGGCAGTCACACACGACACGAATTTACTACGATTTTACAAACTCTGACGTAAGCATTACGTTTCGCGCCATTCATAAAAATATGGATTCTGAGGACGAAATAGTTTTCTTTGTGGCAGGCGGCTTGTGACGTCCAAAAAAAAAACGAAGACAAAGGACATGGCAAAGAGAATGGCTGAAAAGCAGAGAAAAGCGTGGACTTTCTGTTCTTCATAAAGAACTCGAGGGAGTAGCCTAGGCCATTTCTGAATTTTTGCTCGTTTTGCCAGAAATACAACAGGCATATTCATTCATAAAGCTGAATGGCAAATTTGGCACATTCGGAATAACAAATAAAAAATAGAACTGTATAATTAAACTAAAATTATTATAGACTATATGGTTTTTGTCATCTTCTGATTGGTCAACTTCAGATGGATCGCCAAATCGTCTCGTTCAACCGCACATACGCCACGAATTTAAACCGACAGCATCCGATTTTTTTTGACATGATTGAAAATTATCGGGAGGACGGGAGGTGCTCGTAACGTCTCGGGTCGGCCCGTAATTCTTCTCACACGGTACGAGCCATGTCCATGCGAGCATCTGCGATTTTCTCCCGAGAGAAAAAAATCGCCTGCGAGCTCGTACGACAGCAAAAATCGCACCGTGTACGCCCGCCTTAAGTGATTCATCTGGATGTTTCGTTGATCTTATCATGGCCCCTTTAACCTGTTTTTACACTTTACCTTAAGAACATGTGAAAAGTCTCCTCATATACTTCTTTGTGATTCTAATGATATACAGGTTGTGTGGGAATCTGCTGGTTTCTGCTGGATTTAGTTCATGAATCAAATTGTTTACATATTTCATGATATCAAATGCAGTTTGGATGTTTCATTTTCACTAGCTAGCACACAGTTTTTCCACTGTTCTCTATGCAAACATGCACTAAACGGATGTCTCTGGCCACTGCGATCACGTCTCGCATTTTCTGCTGTGTCAGGTTAAAAGAAGTTAACCTGAAGTCACAAGACACATGCTGTAGGGCAGCGGTTTTCAGTACTGGTTCAGGGAACCAACTTCTCTGGGCACCAGTACTGATGAAAGGCTAGAAACATCTCTGACATCGTTGCAACTCGCTGATTAACTACATAGCACAATGCATCATTGGAAAGCGAGTTGTGACTGTATCCTGAAACTGTAATAACATGGTGGCAGCTAGTTGCTAGTTAAACAATACAAGACTGTTGTTAATGACGTCACGTGCAGGTGGTGGAGTAATAACTTACAAATCCAAAGCGACTTACAAATGAGGACAATGGAAGCAATCAAAATCAACAAAAGAGCAATGATAAGCAAGTGCTATTAACAAGTCTCAGTTAGCTTAACGCAGTACACATAGCAAGTTTTTTTTTTTTATTATATAATAAATAAAAAGAAAACAGATAGAATGGGAAAAGAATAGAGCAAGCTAGTGTTAGAGGCCTTTTTTGCTTTTGTTAATTGTATAACTAATAAAAAGAAAAGGAATAGATAGAATAGAATAGAAAAAGAATAGAGAAGCTAGTGTTAAAGAAAACAAGCAGTTAGTAAATGAATAGAGTGCAAATCTAAAAGGGGCAATTTTTTTTTAAAGAATAGAATTAGAATAGAGATTGCTAGAGTTAGAGGGTCAAATAAAGATGGAAGTGATGTGTTTTTTGCCGATTCTTGAAGATGGCTAAGGAATATAGCCATAAGGAAACTTAATATATATAACATAAGGAACTTGTGTTAATGAATCAGTTCAAGAATGCAATTAATGTCCAATTATTATAATTCATTTAGACATTGAAGGACAAATTATTCAATTTCCCGGTCAAACTCCACATATTAGAAGATTAAACCAAAAAGGTAAACTAGAGATTCCTATTAATGATCTGCTTCTAGACTCCATGCAGAGGAGGCATCATCGGAACGCAAAAAAGAAAGCAGAAATGGAGAAGAAGGGAAGCAGAAGCGACCAGACAGGAGACCGTGGACATGCTCTTGATGGCTAAGGAACTGCTTCGGATAATTCGACAACATGAACGTATAAATAAACGGTTGATGAAAAGGGTTAAACAATTTATTGAAGTTAATGAGTTTAATTTGAAGATGGAAACTTTGCGAGGTGAGGTTGACTGTTTGAGAATTCAAAGAGCCAACGCCGCTTCCAAAAGTATAAACGGTTAAACTGACATCCTGTCAAAAAGCGAGAGCAGGTGTCACTATCTGGGTTAACAGTTAACAAATGGAAAATGTTAAGGTGTGAAAACTTGCTCGTATATTTTTGCAAAGGTGTTGCTGCATTGTAGTAGTGTAGATGCATAATTGTGGGTAGCACAAAAAGGTCAGACATCCTGTGTTAACGTATAGGAGATGAACTTTGTTTGAACTTCTATGCATATATTTTTTTAGAGATGTACGCATGTGTGTATGCTGTGCTTAGTGTAATGATGTAATGGAATTGCAACCCGCCAAAACAAAGGGTATGACCAAGTGTTTTGAGTGACTTGCATTTATCCAATAGAGAGTTTCAATAGATGCTTTGCAGGAGAGGAATTTTGTATACGCCCTCTTCTATATAATCGAGTGCTTTATGATTTTGCGGGGCCGAGAAACGGGTGAAGAATACACGCTGTTACTTTCTTGATTTTTGCTTATGAGTTATTAGTTTTAATAAAGCGAAACCATTTGTATATGGTGATTCGATAAACTTTCTTTCAATCAAGACTCCGAGTAATTTATTAAGGGTAACACATTATCTGGATGTAGTTCATAAATCTCCAATACGGGCTTCATAGTGGTAAGAACTCTGCTGAGCTGATCAGGACGTTTTGCTGTGGATCCTGAACTTCACATTATACTTCCCATCAATAAGAGGTAAGGGCTGTATTTGTTCATGACAGCTACAGATGGGGGAAAAGTGTATATATA